GGCTCCTATGTCCTTTCAATAAGTCCACATCCTTTATGAATACTTCCTTATTTTCTGGCACCATAAATTGCTCTAGATTTGTTATATTTTCCTTGTCCCAGCCCTAAAATCAACCACTTCTGCAAGGGCCGTTGTAAATTTATACTTTGCTAGGAACTCTTGGTGAACATAAGAAAGACATCTCATTCAATGCTACCTGATTTTGAATTTCTTTTTTATATTTTATAACTCCAACCTCTCTGGTCTATATTTAGGGTATTTCCTATTCTTTGAATTAATAGTTTCAGTGACTATGTTTTTCACTTGTAGAGATTCTATTTGTTTCTGTTTTTTCCAGATTTGTCTTTTTTCCATCATGCTATATTAATTTACTGGGGATTAAATGCATTGTCTTTCATCTCTAATTCTTTTAAGTGCTTTTGTATTACTTTTTACTTGTTCTGTTATCTGAAGGTCTTGGATATCTAATTCTGCTAGTTGTTTCTGCTGATTCTTACTCATGTTGGACTCATGCATCATTACATATTTTAAAATTTTCCTTTTGTCATGACCTCATTTTTAGAGGGGCTTACTTTATTTTTCTGTGTGAGTCATTTGGGTTACGTGTTATGGGAGTGCCCTTCAAGAGTGGTCCAGGTGCCCCCAGCTCATTGCCATTTTTTATATTCATTTCTCAGCTCGGTGGTTTCTAGTTCAACCATATACTGAGGGCACTGCCCTTCAAGGGTACTGGTTTTATGTGGAGGTCTCAGTTCCAACTCCTGCCTTATGTAGGCTAAAGGCTCTAAGTCTTCTTGCCATTTAGGCATTTACACACAAGCTATTAGGCTATAGAAACTGATAACTTCTTTACAATACCTCAATATAGGTATTTCCCTCTTTGTTTCTAGGCCTCAGTAATACCCACACCCCTTTTATTTATTTTCAGCTCAGATATGTGTGTGTGTGTGTGTGTGTGTGTGTGTGTAATTCTTTATTAATCATTTCAAGTGTGGCCCATCATATTGCTGGAATCAGAAGTCAATCTGTTTCTTGAAAACAAACAACTTATTGGGTAATGTGCAGAACCAACCAGTAAAGGCCAGGACCGTGAACCTGACTAAGCTGATACAATTTGACAGTTTTCATAGGTCTAAAGGCTAGTGGATCGAGGGGATGTACATAGCAAGAAGGTACCAGTTTGAATCCAAAGAGCTCTCAGGGCTGGAAGATCTAGTCAAGAATAGCCCAGGGTTGGGAAGATCAGGAAAGCAGTCTTCTTTACTGGATGCCTCCCTGTTCCTAATTATGTATGGACAAGCCTGGGTTCGCAAATATCCTCTGCAGGTTTTCCATGCTTATGCTTAAGGACACTCTTCAAGGCTGGATTCTAGAATATTTTCTCACAGTCTGTATGAAAAGTACCATCTCAGGCATTACAGTGATACCTCGGTTCTCGAACGCCTCGGATTTCGACCAAATCGGTATTCGACCAGGAGATTCGAGAAACTTTTGTCTTGGAATCCGAACAAATATTTGGAACTCGAACTTCCGAGATGAGCCGAGTTGAGCCGAATGGCGTTCATTCGGCCCAGCGCGCCTTGCTTGCGCCATCAGTGTGAGTGCAGAGAGAGAGTCACGCTTTGTGGAGAGAGTCACGCTTTACACTGAATTTAACCCTTAGACATACTGTACACTTTTATTTCTTGTTGAGACTTATGTTTTTCTACATATTATATACAAATTAGGCCAGTAAATAGGCATTTTCTGGGGCTTGGAACGTATTAATCCAGTTTCCATTATTTCCTATTGGGTTTCATTGCTTCGGTTCTCGAACAATTTGGTTCTCGACCGTCCTCCTGGAACGAATTATGTTCGAGAACCGAGGTATCACTGTAGTTTAAAATGTTCAACTAATGGAGGGAGACTTTTAAAAAAGTTTTGTGAACTCTTGGATGTAGTTGGAGTTCACAAAATTTTCACGGAGTTTACCACCATGGAAAGGGCAAGTCCTGCTTTGCACTCCTGTAATTGGTGGCCAGAGATCTCTTTTGTTGATCTGCAAAGTGCTTCAGAATGTCTGTGAGGCCATACCTCCTCCTTGTATTTTGATTGATAGAAACAGTCAAATGACAAAACTATTGTTGACCAACCTCAAATCTGAGTTATAGTCTTTTTTTTCCTCTTGTCTGCAGGACATTTCTCTCTGGATGTCTATCAACTCAAATTAAACATATCTCAAATGGAACTTTTCAGCTCCTATCTCCTGCGAATATGCTCCTTTTCCCAGTTTCTCCTCCCTTTCTAATGTTTCTTTTTATTCACCCAGATCTCTAAGCCCCAAATATCCCACCTTCTAATTCATTCTCCAAGTTCTTTTAATTCTTATAATCTCTACTTCAGATTTGCCGTTCCTCAGGTTGCAGTGTCATCAGTAGCTAAGTCCTACTGATCACCTGTTATATACTATTACTGTGCTTGGTACTGGGGAATGAGAACTATAAGACATGGTCATTGTTTCTGAAGAATTTAATATCTAGCTGAGTAGATTGTTTACATTCACGAAAATAGTGAACAATACTAGACAGTAGATAATTAAATGCTAAATTGGGTGACACGGAGTTTTAAGTGTTAGAAGTTGGAGGAAACAAAGCAATAAAATGAGAGCTTGAATTGTAAGAGGAAATTTACTTGTGGAAGTGGGATTTGAACTGGGTCTTGAACAACACAGATTGGGATTGGATAGGCATTTAGAGTGAACAGAATGCATGGACAACTACTGAGTGTATTGAGCATAAAATTTTTAGAAAACTTTGGGACCGTTTATGTGTTAGGGACTAGTGAGAGACAGAAATTAGAGAGGTGGATGACTGCTTTGACTCTGGCTGTAAGATTTCCTGATGAATCTTTCAAAAGTAGCATTTTAATTTTATTTATTCCTCAATTCCTAAATCTCTAGAGGGTGCCTTTTCTTTTGGGTTCTGGTGCTACCCTTTGGTGCTCCAGGCCCTCTCTAACCCCCGAGGCTTTCCTCACTGGTACGTGTGCTTTTAGTGCCCACGAAACGCTTTGTTTTTGTGTATTTTGACTTAAGCATTCCATTTTCTGGTGGATTTTCTGCTGATTTCTGTCCTTCTTCCAGTCCCATCTCAAGACTAACTGCCTGTTGATACCCTCTCTGATGCCTCCACCTACCAATCTCTTTCTTCACTGGATTCCTCTTGAAACTACTTTCTGTTGAACGTAGTTCAAATCTAATCATATACATTTTGTTTTCCGATAATTTAGAATTGCATACACTTCTCTTTCTTTTCAATAGGCGCTACGTTCTTTGAAGGGTCGGGCTGTTTTATGTTATTGTTCCTCTTGCAAACTCTTCTGTATACTAACTCCTCTGGGTATATATTCAATGTTGAATTGAAAGCTTTTAAGAAATTTGTTATGTTTTTGTTTTTTTTAATTTCAAATACTAATGATTTGTAACAGTAGAGATACTTCTTTGTATAAATGTGCCTACTGTCTTGCCTGGCACATGGTACTGCCCTTCCTTAGTAAATGTCACTGGACTTCAATTTGTAATGGATCCCAAGTCAAAGAATACATATATATATATATAAATATAAATATATATAAATATAAATATATATATAAATATATAAATATATATATACACACACACACACATACATACATATATGTGTGTATACACACACATATATACATGCATACATATATATACACACACATATACATATACACATATATATATTTTTTTTTGGTGGTTTCATGGAAAGTAGAAAATAAGAGCAAAAGCACTAAATTCAAGTTTTCCGAGATACTTTCTTCTGTCTTCTCCTTTGAGCCTCTCCTTAGTCTGTGTCCTTAAGTATGTATTATTCATTTACCTTTGATTCCTTTTCACTACTTCCTGTAGCTTTTCTAAATAATGTATGTGCGTAGATGGAGATAAATTGTGTGTGTTAATTCAAGCTTAAGAGAAGAGATTAGAGTATTTTAGAAAGATTGATCCTTGTTAAATTCTATCTAACTTCTATCTGTGTTGGCACTGTTTCTTCCTGAGTCTTAAATTTTTAGTTAAATATCTGTAAGTGAAGACATCATCTATTGTATTTGGAATTTAACTTAAGAAGATATTTGAATATCTATAAATCAGATAGTAAAGTGAACTAAGAACACTTGGTTTAAGGAAATGGGTTTAAATATTTTTCTTGAGCTTGAGTTCTTATCACTTAACAGCCTCTTTAAAAATCTGAGTTGACTTTTAAGACAGTCTTAAATTATTACTTTAAATAATATAGTTATTCTCCTACCTTCTTTAAAAGCTTATAAGGTGATATGAGAGTATTCAATTGATATATAATAGCATCCCAATTTTCTGAGTGGTGCTAGAGTTTCAACAGTGCTGAAAAACTACCAGAACTGTGGTTACCTGGCCTTAGAAATGTCCTAGCATTATCTCACCTGTCTTTGTTTCAGATACTGTTCTTCAACAATGAATGTAGCTAATCTGGAATTTCATTTCATGTGTGTGCATGCATGTGTGTGAGAGAGAGACAGATTTTATTTCTGTTGGTTAACCAAAATAAAATAGTAAAAAACAATTGTATGAGGCAGGCTAAGTTTAAACAGCAGTTTATATTGGTTTAAATAATTTCTTTTGAGGTCAATATCTTATCAAATCTTAACTCCTAGGAATGTGTTTCATTCTTTTTTTAAGTTTCTTTAAAATAAAAGTTAGTACTTTTGTCATGGTGACGTAAAGTATGACATAGGGAGTATAGTCCATCATATTGTAATAACTGTATATGGTGCTAAGTGGGTACTAGATTTATCAGGAGAATCACGTCTAAGTTACATAAATGTCCAAGCAGTGTGCTGTACACCTGAAACTAATATAATGTTAAATGTCAACTGTAATTTAAAAAAATTATTTTTAAAGATAGATGGCTTCATAGGAATTGGGATTTTGTTAGGCACTGATTTTTTTATTTGCTTCACAGGTTGTTTGTATTCGATCCACTTGGAATGCTCTCTCCCCAAAACTGAGTTGTGACACGAGACCTCTCATACTGAAGACCCTCTGTGAACTGTTTTCTCTGGTTCCTTCCTTAACAGTCAATACAGATGAATATGAGGTATGTGTTTAGAACTCCAATGTCTTTTTTCTATATTGGAAAAACATGTGCTTTATAATAACTTTTAGAAAAAAATATTTGTAATTCTTTGCCAAAAAGTGCTGAGAACATGTTGATATCTTTATGGACTCTCAGGAGTAGGAGGGTATCCACCCTTATCAATTCTGTCTTTAAGACTGGTTTACATAAAGGATATCCAAGTTTTTATTATGAAAGTACAATCAAGATTTTTAAAAGTCATTATGTTCAAAATAGTGTTTCTAAAATAATAGAATTCATCAGGCTAACAGTTTAAATTCACTTTGTTTTTTTAAGTTCTAAAAAAAAAATGTACAAAGACTTTAATAAAAGCAGAGCATTCTCCCTTTAGTAGACAGATTGTCATTTTGCTCCGAGCTTTGCCATAGAGATTTTATTTTTAATGCTAGTTCACGTTTTCTACACACATCTGCCATCTTTGTCTCTAGTCTTCAATGAGGATGACTATAAAAGCAAGCCATCTTAGAAAAGGAAAATAGTTTTATGAACGACTATGTTTATCATTGTAATGAATTGAAAAACTTGGTGAAAGATGCTTTGCTATAAGGTTCATAGATTCCTGCTTCAGTTTTCTTCGTTATCTCTTCTCTGCGTGAAATAGAGGGTGGTGATTTCATTTATGCCTCCTCTTTCATAGCCAGTTCCCCTCCATGCTCACCTTTTCTCCTCTTCCTTCACAGAGCAGCAATTGATTTTCACTTCACATCTCGGTGGACTTTCAGATCGATTCACAGACTTCAATAAACTGCCCCTCCATCATATTCCAGTAATAGTTTCTTTCGTGTTTTAGATCACACGATAAGACAGGATTATAGGATAATACTTCTAATCATCTAATCATTCTAAATACCCACCATGAGTAAAATCAAATTTGTTCTTACTGAGGATGCAGTAGCTAGCACAGTGCCTGGCACATAGTGTATATTCAGTAAGTAGTTGTTGAAAGCAGGATTGAACCAGAATAGGATACTGTGAGGTTATTCTCACATTTGGACTTTTGTTTTAGTGTATTAAAAAGGAATCAATGTGAGACTCCTAGAGTATGTAGTTCACCAATAGTCTTTTTTCATGGCTACTATCACTGGTTTGTACCTTTATGTTTTCAGAAAGTCGGCTAGGCTACTGCAAAGAGCAAAGACTAAAAATCAAATGAAGGACAAATTGTGTATATTTATTTTCTGTTTTCAAGGACTGGATTCATATACCTTTATATTGCTTGTACTTTGATTTATTCAGATTTTATTACAGGTAAATTTATGAAGTGATTTGTGTATGGGTTTATGTTTGCTTACCAATGCCTGTACATTGTCTTTTGGATTCGATAATTTTCTTTTATTCCTTCAAATTTTACATTCTTTTCCATTGGCATTTTATTTTGGTTTATCTTCATGCTTATATTAATATTCAGGTTCCTCTGTTGTTCATTTCATCCATCAGCTTCCTCCCAGAAAGGGTGATTCCTTCAGTGACCACAGTCCACGTGAAAGCAGAAGTAAAGAAATGTAGAGGGAGACCTCTGTCTGTCTGTCTTTCTCTTTCTCCTTTCTTAATCCCCATCCCTCCCCACCTCTCATCCCTCCTTCCTTATGTGTGTTTAACTGCTTTGAGTTTGTTTGGCTATAAGCCAGAGTTGTAAGTTCCCAAAGCATTTCACAGGTCATTGCTAAACCTGCTCACCTCAGCACCTGTGTTTGCCTAAAATGAAGTCCATCCTGGTTACACCTAATCAACAAGCCTTTGGAACCTGGCCTCTCTCTGCTTGTCTGCCTGCTGCACTCCAGGGGGCCGAGCCATTGGAGGTTTTCTTATCTGCCTCCAAACCTTTCCACCTCTTTTCCCCGTGTTCATGTTGTTCTTTCTGGTAGAACCACTTTTTTTTTTCATTTCTATCTTTAAAATCTATATCAGAATATAAAGAATTGATCTAACTCATCTTGTTCTTTGAGAATTATTCTGCGATCAAGAGTCTATTCCTCCCAAAATTCTTTATGCAGTTCTAAGAACATTTATTTCTATTTTATACTGCAAGTATATGTATTTACATATATTATTTCCCCCATTGAATTATAAGCTTATTGAAAATAGAGTCCATGTTTCAGTTCATGTATCTTCTGAATTGCTTTGCAAAAGTGCTTGGTACATTTATTTATTGACTCGGGATTTATTAAAACTGTACTAGGCCTTAGAGATACTAATAAATAATAATAAATACTATTTAAAAGTATCTATTATATATTCCTAGCACTTTTCTAGTTACTTTATACCAATTGGTTCTAATATCTGATAGGCAGATATTATTTTTCATTTCATAGCTAAAAAAAACACTGAGGTTTTTAAAGGTCTATCCATTCATTAAACAAATATTTATTTAGTATCTGCTACATGCCAGACAAATAACTTGACCAACACCCAGGACTTTCTAGCTCTATAGCCTATCTTTTTCCATCACACCGTGCTGTCTGTCCCTGCCTTCCAAAAACTCAAAGGTTGGTAAAGAAGGTAGACATAAGCAATGATAATTATAACATTTCATGGGTACAGTTAATCACAGGGCTATGAGTGTAGCTGTGGAAGTGACCAGCATTCTTAGGAGGAATCTGAGGAAACCTTATTTAATGGGTGCTATTAGACAAGGATCTTGAAGAATTGATGAAATGTTGCTTCCCACCAAAGTTTGGGGAGTAGAATATGCAAAGACAGGAGGTATAGAAGAACCTTATATAATTTAGAACAAGAAGTTAGAAGTTGGGACACAGTTTTATGCATAATTATTTATTAAATATTTATCATTTGAGGAACTGGGCCTTATGTTCTGGGCTTTATGGTCTAGGCCTTTCAATGAAAAAGACAGTCTCTGCCCGAAAGCATATGCCACCTCGTAGGAGTTAGCCATGCACCAGATGCTATGGAGTGCTGTGCGGCATATGACTGCCCAGAGGAGGGAGACTTGTCTGGGTAGGGCGTCAGGAACAGTGGCATGAAAGGAGGTGACATTCATTCTAGGACTTGAGAGGTCAGTAGGAAGTGGGTAGGTTTCTAAATTTAATAGTCTTAAAATTCTATTGTGTTTAAAATATCCATGAATTTAAGTGATGAGTCTGTTTCCAAGTATTTTCATTTTATGAATAGTGGGTAAATACAGGTTAAGTCGATTACCAGGGGTATAATTTTAAAGTGACTCTATTTCTACTATTTGCTACTTTAGATTGTTTATCCTTGGTTTTATCTTTATCTTAAAATTTTATTCCACTGTTTGTTGATTTTTCAGAATTTTAAGGTTCAAGTCCTCAGCTTCCTCTGGACTCACACTCAAAACAAGGTACTGTCATCCCAGGGGTGTCAGTGAAGCAGAGCCAGGCTGGGGGAAGGACTCTCAAAGCAGAGTCTTAGAGTAAAAGAGGTATCTCCCTTGGAATGGTGGCTTCTTGATTTCAGAAGAATTGTGACAATTCATAAGTGTAGACTTTGAAAAGTATTCTCGATGGACTCTTATTAATTCACTTCCACCATAAAGTGCACTTACTTCTTTGGGAGGCTGACATTAGTCCGAAGAGGACTGCTGCCATTGTCTCGTATTTTGAATGGTCCTTCCCCTTTCCTGCTTTGTGCCTCCCCTAGCAGCAAGCATATCACACAAACAAAAGTCCAGTCCATTTTTTTAGATGTTGTTTCCAATCAAGGATTATAGAGCAGAGGGTGTGGGTGATGTTACACCTGGCCCATGAGTGAACGAGCTTAGATTCCGAAAGGCTAACTGTCCCTGTTAGTAGCTGGAGCATCAGAATCCAGTTCCAGGCCTGTCAGACTCTAAACCCTTATACACCTTCCACCAAGCCATCCTACCTGATGGGGCCCGAGCGATTCTGAGTTACTTTATGTTTAATTTCCAAACTCGGACAAAAATTTAGTGCTTCTGATCCCTCTACTCAATGCTTTTCTCTCTCTTTTCAGTTGGGACAGATTAAGCAAGTTAATATCATTTCCAGAGCATTGATGATAGATAGAACTTGGGGAGGGGGTGGATTTTCTTCCTCCAGAGTTGATGTCTAATATATGTTGTTTCTCTTGTTTGTTTTACTTTGATCCTCTCCAGGACCCAGTTGTAGCAAATGCTGCGTATCAGTCTCTGTCTCACTTCAGTGCTGAAGAGCACACGGTTCTTCATCTGCCTGAACAGGTAGGCCTCTCTGCTTTCTCCCTGACACCGCTTTCCTTCTGGGTTTTACAACTGTTATTCGTACGCCCACCATTAGGAGATTCGTAAGATTCGTACCTGATGGATGGACATGTAACTCTAGCTATGCTGCCTCTAAAAGATAAGAATTTATATTCATTACCTGTTTAATCTAATGATCTTAGAGTGTAGTGGTGTTAGAGATCATGGATAATAACTTTAAATCTCTTTGAAGAAGATGGAAGACACCTGTGGTGCGATTGCAGGCTCCTCAAGGTGAATGGGCGTGGCTGCGAGCCCGTGGGCGTGGCTGCGAGCCCGTGCCCGTGGCTTACTCCAGATCTATGCCACCATAGGACCCGCTTTGCCAATTTAGTGTGCCATGTTGGGCTCCAAATCCAAGCATGGCCCGCACAGACTAAGATTTACATCACCCGGGCAGCCAGAGAGCTCTGTTTGCGATATAAATGTGAGACGCCATGCGAAGAAAAACCTGCCATTTATTAGTGTAGAGTGAAATGATGTGTAGGTTAGCACCAGAGAAGTGAATGAGGAAAGTATTCCTGTCTTTTAAGGGTTGACACATAGTGTGACATTACCTTAATATTTAGACTAAACTAAAAATATACAACCTTTTCTAGTATCTACCTAATACATCCGACTTCAAATTATTAGGTTATGTCTGGAGTTAAGTGTGATTTCACATTTAGCGCTACTAGTAATTCGAATGCATTCAAGGGCGCAAATGCCTCTAGAGCGTCAGGCACACATTGTATTAGGAGAACTTATGGGTAACATCATGCAGAACCTGTCCTTGAGGCCAAATGGCAAGAAGTTTTGCTGTGACTTTTCTTGGGATCTTCAGGCATTAAAATGGGTTTCCGTTCTTTTCTAGAGTGAGATTATATGAGATTAGATGCTTATAAGAACCAGGCAAAGGTCCGTCTATTGAATTCAGTAGGAGCCACTACATAAGTGAGACTGAAGGATAAGCTCTTATACAGCCAAATTCTACGTAAGGCAGGATTTCTCATGTTAGCGAGGACTTCCAAGACAGATAGGCCACCTTGTCATGCAGTTATCACAGATGGGAAGCCTTAGGAAAAAGTGTTCTATGACATAAAACTTTGAAAGATGGGACTTCAGACTGCACTAGCAATGGTGACTAGCAATGCCCATAGCTTCTGAGAGAGAGAGAGAGAGAGAGAGAGAGAGAGAGAGAGAGATAGATTAAAAAAAAAATAGCTACATGTAAACTTGTTGTGCAAACTCTTATCAATAGATGAGCTGTACATCTGGGAAGATACCTGCTAAGTTATATTGCAGCATAACAATTGCCTTTATTTTTAGCTATTACTCTTGTAATATTCCAGCTAGAAGAAATAGCTTTTATTAAACAACTTTCATATTCACTTGCCTGCTTCATCTCTACCTCTTTAAATATTGATATGTTCATATTTTTTCCTACTTTAGAGTTATACCCAGTTTCTGATTATTGTTGTTAGAATTTATATTCTAGTAAGTGCTATTCTCAATCAAATATTAGGTACTTTCTTAATCTAACTCTTCTATTTTTTCTGATCCCTAATAGCCATGAATAGCTCTTTGCACCTTCCGACATAAAGGGTGCTGATGTACACAGAGTTGGGATTTCTATGTATGCTCGGGTTTTCACCAGCAGCATATGAAGAGCTTTAAAGGAAATCTCTAACACTTATCCTTCTTAGCCATGCTTTTCAACCTTTTCTTCTGCCCTAACCCCTTCTGGGATATGAATAGTAGTTCACTATTGTGAATATTTTCAACTGGGATTAAGATGAAAGGACAAAAGTGGTTTAAAAGTGTCTACCTCTGCCCTGGCCGGTTTGGCTCAACGGTTAGAGCAATGGCCTATGGACCAATGAGTTGTAGGTTTGATTTTGGTCAAGAGCATGTGCCTCGGTTGCAGTTTGTCCCCTGGCCTTGGTTGGGGTCGTGTGGGAGGCAGCCACTCAATGTGTCCCTTCCACATCGATGTTTCTCTCTTTCTCTCTCTCCACCCCCCTCTCTCCCTTCCACTCTATCAGAACAAAAATGGAAAAATGTCCTCGGGTGAGGCTAAAAAAATGTATACCTCTGACGCCCAGCTTCTGACCAAGAGGATCTGCCTCCTCATGGAGAATCAGCGCTTCCAAGACTGTGCCATGCATTCCCCTTCTTTTTGCTGAAGAATGGTTTTCAGGTTAGCTGTTTGAATGCCTGAGGAATGAAGGTCCAGAAAGCGATCAATGTATCCATATCCTAGACAAGTCCCCCAAATCTTCAAAGGCAAAGGAGACAACCAAGTCAGCATCCCACCTGTGCTTTATAGATGCTGACAGTGCTGTGAAACAGGCTCGTTTTCCAGAAAAGCTTATTTTCAATTGTTCTAAAAGTCCCTGCCAAGTAGGGACCTTTATAATATAAAAACGAAGATTCTTGCAGAGACTACTCACTCTGCATGAAGGGCAATTTCAGTTACTCACAAAGCTGAAGGTTCCCTGTACCCCTCCCTTTCCAGTGAAAGTATGTCCACCTTTTCTTTTTTTGCTTGTGGGAACTTGTGAAATAATCTTCTAAATGAGCACAGTATGAATTTCAAGTAGAAATTAAAAACTAATAGATAGAATGCATCCTTATCAACATGGCTACATTTGTGGATTATACTTCACCTACTTTTGCAACCACTGCCCTTTTTTAAATTTACTGATGAAAGAGTGCTTATTGATTGATGCATTAATTTAAAATTGTGAAACTTGTTGAAAGCTAACAGGCTGGTAAAACAAAAAGTATTAGAGGAGTGGCAGACATCAGGAAAAAACTTAGGGTCGAGTAAGACATTATATCTAAAGCTAGATGGAAAATGTCATTGGATAATAAAATTGAATGAGATACCATGTGAGTTAGGAATTTGAATATCGAATTCAGTAACTGATCTTTCTTGTCACTGGTTTGTTTTTAGGAAATTCTGGGAGAATATTAGTGATAGACACCTAACACTTGCATTGATTTAATAATTATTTACTAAGTGCTAGGAAACTCATGTGTTTTGTTGGTTTGTAAAAATACTGTTTCTTGGTCAAAAAATTGGGGAGTCTTCACTGAGCATCTGTTTATTCTAATCTTCAAAAATAGACATGAATGCTTTCTCCCTTTTCGTTTGTGTTTCTTTGTTCTTTTTAGCTATTTATCCTTCTCCTCTACTTCATTAGGACACACACACACACACACACACACACACATGCACACACACACACACTCAACCCCAAAAGACAACCAACCAAACAAAAAAAAATCTTTAGAGCCCTGGCCGGTTTGGCTCAGCGGTTAAATCGTCAGCCTGCGGTCTGGAGAGACCCGGGTTCCATTCCCGCTAAGGGCATGTACCTCAATTGCAGTTTGTCCCCGGCCCTGGTTGGTCGTGCGGGTGGCAGCCACTCGATGTATCCCTTTCAGGTCGATGTTTCTCTCTCTCTTCCTCTCTCTCCCTCCCACTCTATCTGTACAAAAAAATGGAAAAATGTCCTCCGGTGAGGATGGAAAAAAAAAAAAAATCTTTAGAGATTGTCTTCCTGACAAAACAATCAGTAATGGATAAACATTTAGGTAGAAGATTGACTCTCCTCTCTGACTTGGGTTCATTAAAAAATATTTAGCTATTTAAAAATTAAACATTTTATTATAGAGATCTTAAGATAAATTGTGTTGTTGATTTCTAGAGTTAATTTTAGAAGCAAGTAATATAAAAGGACTCATTATGCATGCTGTCTTGGTATTAATATGGTGTAACCTGTTCGGCTTTGATTTAAGTGAATGTCACTGCATTCATCAGAAGCTGTTTCTCTTTTTAAATGAATTTATGCAGATACTTGATGTGTTCCAAATAAAATCCTATTTCTGCACCAACTCCTGTATTTTCATAGGGTTAGACACGAACAAAGGTGGTTGAAAGGCTATCTGGCTCAGAACTCATTGTAGGATAAGCTTTCAATGTGAAGCATTTTAAAATGAATTTATTGTTTTATATTTGGCTCTCTATTAAAATATAATCAGCCCTAGCCAGTTTGGCTCAGTAATTGGAGCGTCGGCCTGCAATCCGGAGAGACCCAGGTTTGGTTCCCGCTGAGGGCATGTACCTCGGTTGCAGTTTGTCCCCGGCCCTGGTTTGGTCGTGTGGGTGGTAGCCACTCGATGTGTCCCTTTCACGTCGATGTTTCTCTCTCTCTCTCTCTCCCTCCCTCTCTCTCCCTCTCTATCTGAACAAAAAATGAAAAAATATCCTCGGGTGAGGATAAAAAAAAAATGTATAATTAGAAGGGCATAGTTGTAAGTGTATATGTGTTTGTGTTTTAAATATATGTGTAGTTTTCCTGGGCATTTTAGCACCTAATGTAATATAACTGCCCAAATTATATAATTTTAACATAATTTTTTTTCATATGATGTCTCTTGATTTTTCTTAGTTGTACTCATGTTGATCATATTAGTTGTGCACACAAGCCAAGGGAAAAGATTGTAGCTAGCATAGAAAAACTGAAATAAATGCCTCTTTAAAAGATGAGCAGAAAAGGATGGAAATGTAATGGAACCAAGTTCTAACAATAAATGCTAATTTGTTCAGGAGAATCAACTCACATTTGAAGAAACAAAATTGAAAGAGTAATCATAGCATTACAAGTAGGCAGAATATGTCATCTATACTTGAATTACAGTACATCTGTAGTTTCCTTGTTAAATGTATACAATATGAGATGCAGGCATATGCTGTTTACCATATAGCAGATAAATTAATATAGGCATTCAATTATGTGAATATGAAGTTAGACAACTTAAGAAGGATGAGTGGATCAATTATTTTACCCCCAACCTAGTAGGTCTTTCAGTGGCTCTCAGAAATATTGATGGCTGGGCACTGTTGACTCATTTTAAATAATTTAGGTTGACTGAGCAAAAAGACTGGATAGGCTAAAATGTGTGCAAAAATGATTGTATCCCTTTTATAGTAAATGATTCTGGAATTAGAAGCATTTGATCATTTGGCATAGTTCATATACCGGTTAAGGTCCCTCTGAAGGCGATGGTGGCTTCCGCTTCTGATTCTGATTCTTCAGCTTGTGCTTCTCACACCGCCGTCTCCCTCCTCTCCTTTCCTTTCTTCCTCGTATAGCCCTCCTTCCTTCCTCCTCCCCTTCCTCCCTACCGCCTTTCTTCTTTGTAAGCAGATTAATTGAGACATGATTCACATTCCATATGATTCACCTATTTAAAGCATACAATTCAGTGGTTTTAGTCTATTCAAAGAATTGTGCAATTATTCACAGAGCAACCACAATCTAATTTTAGAACATTTTGTTCTGAGTCAATTCCCATTACTCCTTCCCCTCCTCAAGCCCTAAGCAACCATTAATCTACTTTCTGTCTCTAAATTTGCCTGGCCTGAACTTTTCCTATAATGAAAGCATATAGTATGTGGTCTTTTGTGACTGGCTTTTTACGTAGCATATGTTCAGGGTTCATTCATGTGTAACATGTATCTCTACTTTATACCTTTTATTACTGAATAATATTCTATGGTATAGATATGCCACATTTTGTTTATATATTCATCAGTTCATGGACATTTGAATTGCCTCCATTGTTTTAGCTATTATGAATAACACATTCACATTCGTGAACATTCATGTGTAATTTTTTGGTGTGATCACTTATTTTCATTTCTCTTGGGTATATACCTATCAGTGGAATTACTGGGGCATATGGTAACTGTCTTTAACATTTTGAGAAACTGCCAAACACTTTTCCAATAGGGTTGCACCATTTTACGTTCCCACCAGCAGTGTCTGAAGGTTCTGATTTCTCCACATCCTCACCATTCCTCTGTTTTCATGTTAGCCACCTCCCCACGTGTCCCAAGACTTGTGAATGTGACGTATAGCAGAGCTTCCGTGCTTTGAGGGACTGGTGTGGTGACTGGTGTAACTGATGTAGCCACCAGCTGTAACACTGTCTGTTTCCCCAGTATGTTGTTCAAACAATTTTCAGTTTATACAGTGGATGTGTAAAAAGTCAGGAAGTAAGGCAACTAGTACTTGCTAGAATCTCTAAGGAAACTCCTGACAGTTCTAACCCTGGCAACTTCCAAGTATGTATGCAGACCAGAAACACTTGGAAAACTCTGCTTGTCAGAACCAAAAGGTTTGGGAACGTGCCAGGGTTTCTCTGGTCTGCATCAATATCAACAAATGCCCTGTGTGAAGCGTGGGTTGTTGTTACTGCTGTAATTATGGCTGGCTCAGTCCTCTGGGAATTAGGCATCCATACTGACTCAGAATTAAATTTTGTCTTAGAAAGTGCTCGGGTAGTCAGGTTGCTTTCCTTCCTTCACTATTGAAGAGAACACTAGTTACGGTTGAAAGGCTTCATTGGAGTTGAGATTATTATATTTAAGAGAAGCATTTCCTCTTTTTTTAAATCCCCCTGCAAGAACCCTGACTCAGTGCAGTTCCTAAATGGAACAGTGCTTTGGGGACCTATGAAGAAGGCAGTCTGCAGGAATTGTTAATTGTTTCTAAAAATAACTCCAGGAGACAGGCTAATGGTAATGACTGGGTTCTGGCACTTTATGGTTATAGCAACCACTTTTATATATTTTTATTTCCTCCCCTAATGCTTAATTATCTCCATGTGGGCATTATGATGGTGTATCATTGAAAGTATTAAAAATTTAATTAATTGCTTGACAGTTATATCTTGTGGAAATTGCAATAGTGATAATCTTCAAATTGCAAATCACACACAATAAAGTATAGCTACCAATTACAGAGTTTAGTGTTTTTATATTCTATACCAACAAACTGCCAAGTCTAAAATAAAGTCAACTAAAGCATTCTGTTCTTTCCTGATCTCTACTATATGTTCTTCTGGAAGATTTTAAGCTTTGTCATAGAGATATGGCTGGAATCACAAAAATTTTAAAAATGTATTAAGCCTAGGCAAATATTTTATTATAAAACATAGAATTTTAATGTATTGAATGTGTCATCGTTTGCATTTTATTGTCAGATAGTGTAAAGTTTCATTAGTTTTCTATAATAATCATTGCTTATGTTGGCTTATGGTGATTTTCTTACTATATTATCATTAGCTCTTTACCTGGATTTGAGATTGTATCTGGTAAATTGATTAGAGGTTAACATTCAGTTAATCTGAAAATGAATGGTTTTTTAAAAATTAACTTTTAATTGTCTTTTGACATTCTAGAGCAATGAGTCTATCTGAATTTTTTAAAATCTTGACCTAAAAAGGACAAAGAAAAGATTTTATATAATGTTTAGTATCATCTTCTCTGTCATTTCAGATAAGACCAGAAATTCATCTTCCTGATGAGGTGGATGAAGATGATGAGGGTGATGAGAAGAGCATGGATCTGTCCATTTCTGGCTCTTGCTACCTCAAGCTGTTGTCGCTCACCTCGCCTTTGGTTTTACCAGGTGACTCTTACTTATTCAGTGGCAGGGAATCTAACCTTTTCAGTGATTTTCACCTGTCTGATTTATTGTGTCCTTTTGTGATTTGTACACATTGTAGCTTACTTTAATCTTCCATAGTTATTTTCTGTCTGAAATGCAAAATGTATCCGTTTGTTCTATAGGACTGCTTGAGGTAGTATGGCATTGAAAACATACTGAATATGTTAGACTCCAATAAAACTGACTGGAAAACTAGTTTAAACAACCATTTTTTTTTTTTTTTATCCTCACCCGAGGACATTTTTCCATTTTTTGTACAGATAGAGTAGGAGGAAGAGAGAGAGAGAGAAACATCGACGTGAAAGGGACACATCGAGTGGCTGCTACCCGCACGACCAACCAGGGCTGGGGACAAACTGCAACCGAAGTACATGCCCTTAGCGTGAACTGAACCTGGGTCTCTCTGGACCGCAGGTCGACACTCTAACCGCTGAGCCAAACCGGCCAGGGATAAACAACCATTTTTAGTGAGAAATTACAATTTATTTCAAATGCTAAATTTATTCTGTAAGACAAATTTGCAGTGAAACTTCAAGTCACTGATTCAAATAACTGTTTATTATTATATAAGTTACGTGAAAAGATCATTAAACTCTTCTGAAATTTACTGGCTAGTTTTATCATTATAAATTTATTATTTCTTTAGAATTACCCCAAAGATGGTACCAATATTTGAGAACTATAAATTAATGCTTTTAATAAATGGATCAAATTATATGGTCATGTATGAACAACAAATTTTACAGAACCTTGGCATTTAAAAAATTATTCTAATTATATCTAGTTATTCTAATTCAGTATTGGCCAACATTTTGCTGAGCTTGAATATTCGTGGATATAAACATTCAATGTTTGAAAATTAAGTTCAATAAACATAAGAAATCTCATCTTAGCTTCACAATCGTAATCTCAACAGCCTGTAATGCTGAAAGATTTTTCCTTGGTTTTATCCCATGTGGAGATACCTGAGGAATTCAGCTAAATATATATTAATTTCTACACAAACTCCTGTCCCAAATCCCCACCTCCTTCCATTAGAGAAAGCTGGATGGTACAACTTAGACAAAGAGTTCACCTTTTCTTATCTCCTGAAGCCCAGATCAAGCCTTAAAGACTAGTGTCCCGTTCCTCTCCCCTGTTCTTCCCCTTTCCTCCCCCAGGTTCTTCATAGCCTAGGACCTTTCCTGCAGTTATAGTGAGTCGAGGAAGGAAAAAGCCTTCCGTTACCAAAGTTCCTCTTGTATTCTAAAACAGCCATAGAGTCAAAATGATGTTGTTCCCTCTTATATGGATCTCTCACCCCCGGGCATGGGGCATGAGAAGGGGGAAGACATTTGTGCCAAGCTGAGCTGTGGTGTCTGTCCTCCTAGTCTGTGCAGAGCTGTGTGGCCATTAAGTGGCTTCTCTCCGTGGTTTGTCCTTGATGGTTATTAGCTCTTTCCTTGAGAAAGAAGGGGAGGACTTGAGATCAACAATTGTATCTACTTGAGAAAATTCAATAATTAGAGTCAGGTGTGTGGTGTGGATGCTGTGTGTGTCTGACAGGCTGTGTCACCGTGGACGAAGTTCTTCATACCTTAAAAGGTCCAGGGTGGGTGATACATAGTAGGTCTCTAGGTACAGTAGGCAGAAAACCAAATTGCACGGAATACAACTGAATCCTGGCCCTTTTCTTCTCTTATTTTCTTTCAAGTAAACACAAATGCGGCTGCAAAGTAAATTCAAAAATTTTCATTATTCTACATAGGGGTGTTACTGGTATTGATTAAACTTTTTAAACATTTTGAAGTAACTTTAGACTTACAATAAGTCATAAAACAGTTTAGAGAGTTTCTGTGTATTTTTACTCACCTGCTCCCAGTTGCTAACATCTCACATAACCTTAGTTCATTATTAAAGCCAGGAATTTTACATTGATACACTTATTAACTATAGATCTATTTGGATTTCACCAGTGTTTTTCGTACAGTATGTAAATTTTGGGGATTAGCTCCCCCCCCCCCTCACTCAGGATGTTTTTGAATCCATACAAATACTTGCCTATGTGAATTCTTTTTTATTACTGCGTAGTATTTCATTGCAGGATGTACTCCAGTTTGTTTAGCCACTCACCTGTTGAAAGGTATTTGGGTTGTTTTAAAAATTTATATCTGATACTGCGACCTACAAATTTTCGGCACTTTTTAAATTCTTACCTGGACAAAGACAAGGACAAGCCTCAGTGACAATGGAAAACATTGTTGCTAGTTTAGTGGCCGGGGAACATGGCGCTTTTTCTATCGGTTGCAGTCATAGTATCTTTCCCTCATTTAGACTATTCTCAAAGCTAGAGTTATTTTGAGAATCCTTAGTCCTCTGAAAAGCTTGACAAGTAGACAAATTTCCATTCCTGGGTTAGACTATTGCAATTGTGTGCTTATCTCTTGCCAGGTATCAGCTTTTGCCAGAATAGGATCCCTTCTGAGAAAGCAGGAATTACCCTCTCCCATCATAGCACCTGTGTCCTCACGAATGAGGGTCCTAGCTACATTCTGAAAAGTGTAACTCATACTCCACAGGCTCGAAGCAGTCATACATATGCATGTGAATGCAGATATTGAAGTACATGGCCTGCAATTGGATGTTACTCATCTCTTTCATTTAGATGATGTATTGATTCAGGCCTTTCCAGAAAAAGCATATTCAGATGGAGGAACTGGGAGTTTAATAAAAGGACTGTTTACAGTTATGTTGTAAGGTTAAAGGAAAATCACAAGCAATGGTGAGTCATCCCAGAATAGTTAATGTCCCTTAGGTGGAAGGTATAAGGGGAGGTGGCAGTTAGGAGAATGAGAGAGAGCTTCTGTGTTGTAAATAGAGAAGCCAGGGCCTCCATAAGAAGCATGCAGGCAACCTGCAGCAATCCTGCAGGTGGGTGTATCTGGGGAGGACATGCCTGACCTCACTGGATTTCCACCCTCTGGCCTCCTGCCAGTGTTTCCCATTGGATGAAGCCAGAGGACAAGGGAGCCTGATGAAGCAGTTCTTAAAGGTTATTCTTCAGGGCACAGAGCAGGGTGAGAGGGTAGAGGGTGGGTCTGCAGGGTAAATGGAAAGCATCCCTCACAGTGTTCTCTGGGCTTTGAATGGAGAAGCATGGTTGCATCTAGGAAGTTTCCATATAGAATTGACAGAATTGGGCACATAATAGATGCTCCAGTAAGTGCTTACTGCCTTTAATTTAATGATGGTTATTTAAAGTAGACTTTAAGATCTATTCAGAATGAAATTCCAGTTTTGTTAGGTGAATCCTTGCTTTCTGTTCCTATAATAAGAGACACATGCAATAGTTTCCTGTTTAGTTTTCCATATGATTTGTTTAGTTTTAATGTTTTTTGTTTCTGCATTGGGCATGCAGCCTCTAGTAGTTCTGAGGAAAATAACACTTAATTATAAACCTACAGTTTTATCCAGTATTTTGTTTGGGTATCTATTGTCTTTTGATCCCACATTTATGTTACTTTATAATAAGTAAAAATATGGACTTCCAGTCAAGATGGCGGTGTAGGTAAACACGGTATCTCCTCCTCCTACAACCACATCAAAATTACAACTAAACTACAGAACAACTATCATTCAAAACTGCCTGAAACTGAGTTGAATGGAAGTCCTACAACTATGACATTAAAGAAGCCACATCAAGACTGGTAGGAGAGGCGGAGGCGCAGATGGACTGGTCCCACACCCACATGTGACAGATAAAAATTAGGAGGACACCTCGGCTGAGAAGGTCCTCCTTGAAGAGTGAGGGGTCCCCATTCCACACCAGGTGTCCAGCTCAGGGTTCCAGTGCCAGGAAGAGAAGTCCCATAACTTTTGACTGAAAACCAGTGAGAACTGAGGCTGAGGGAGGCTGAGGCTGCTGGAGCCCCAGGCAGCTCCTCTTAAAGGACCTGTGCACAGACTTACTCGGACTTGCACCCTCCAGGCTCCAGCATGGGGGAGGCAGCTTGAAAGGCGCCAGAGACATACAGTGAAGAACTGAATTATTTGGTGTCAGGTTGAGAGCTGTAGGGGCAGCTTTCTCCCAGACAGACGTGCTGGCGGAGGCCATTGATCCTTTGGTGAGCCCTCCCCCCATGAGGCCAGCAGAAGGCCACCATATCTGGGACTCCAGCAACCTGGCTCACACTGTTTGCCCCGCCCTGGTGACTCCCTGAGGCCCTGCCCCACCCAACTTTCAAGCCCACCCAAACTGTTTCCAATGGTTTTACCATAGGATTGGCCTGTCGTGGATCCTGCTTCAGATTTTCCTAAAATCTTTCAAACAGGCACCATCTGGTCTCTGAAAGCCCCATACCTCTCATTAAGTGGCCCCAGCCCTGGCACTAGAAGCAGCCAACCTTGGTTCACAACTTGGCTTTTCCTGGGCACCTCCAAGCCCAGCACAAGAAGCAGCCATCTGCAGATCACTTTGTAGCTTATGCCAGGTGGTCCTGGGTAGAACACAGGCAGTGATTGACCTTGCCTCAGAGCCAGCACTCCCAGTGGACAGCTTCAGAACACTGTGAAGCACCACCATCCAACCACCTCCACAAGTGACACACTCAATGAGTGGACTCAGTGGGTACCAGAACCCTGCTGAAGTAAGTCTTGCTCTGTGTGGTGGGCCCCTGCACAGCTGATCATCCAAGGTGGTCAGAGGTCGGTGGATAGTGGGCACAGCCAGTCCTTGCAGCCGATCAACTGGAGTAAATCCCTTTCATTGACATGCCAACAGCAATCAAGACTCAATTACAACAGAAGGGTGTACAATCCACACTAGGGATACACCTCGGGGGCCCAGCTGTGGTGATCAGGGAGGCTGTGCCACTGGATCCTACAGGACATCTACAATAATAGGCCATGATACGAAGCCTGGGAGACATAGCAACTCTACCTAATACATAGAAACAATCACAGGAAAGCAGCCAAAATGAGGATGCAAAGAAACATGTCCCAAGTGAAAGAAAAGAACAAAACTTTGGGAAAAGAACTAAACAAAATGGAAATAAGCAATGAATCAGATACAGAGTTCAAAACACTGGTTATAAGGATGCTTAAGGAACTTAGTGAGAACTCCAAGGAACTTAGAACATGAACAACATAAAAAAGGACCAGTCAGAAATGAATTATTCTCTGTAATAATTTACAGAGAATCAATAGTAGAGTAAGTAAAGCCAAGAAGCAAACCATCGATTTGGAATATAAGGAAGTAAAAAATACCCAATCAGAACAGCAAAAAGAAAAAATAATCCAAAAGAGGATAGTATAAGGAGCCTCTGTGACAACTTAAAATGTGACAACATTCACATCATGAGGGTGCCAGAAGGAGAAGAGGGACAGCAAAAAATTGAAAACCACCCTGGCTGGTTTGGTTCAACAGTTGGACCATCAGCCTGTGGACCAGAGAAAGGAAGAACGGAAGAACGGAAGAGAGAAAGAGAGAGAGAGAGAGAGAGAGAGAGAGAGAGAGAGAGAGAGAGAGAGAAAGAAGGAAAGGAAGGAAGGAAGGAAGGAAGGAAGGAAGGAAGGAAGGAAGGAAGGAAGGAAGGAATGAATTGAAAACCTTTTTGGAATAATAATGACAGAAAACTTTCCTAATTTGGTGAATGAAACAGACATACAAGTGCAGGAAGCACAGAGCGTCCTAAACCAGATGAAATCAAAGAGGTCCACACCAAGACACATCATCATCAAAATGCCAAAGTTTAAAGACAAGGAGAGACTTTTAAGAGCAGCAAGAGAAAAGCAGTTAGTTACCTACAAGGGAGTTCCCATAAAACTGTCAGCCAATTTCTCTAAAGAAACTTTGCAGGCCAGAAAGGAGTGGCAAGTGATATTCAAGGTGATGAAAAGCAATGCCCTACACCAACATTACTCTATCCTGCAAAGCCATCATGTAGAATTGATGGGCATATCAAGAGTTTCCCAGACAAGAAAAGCTAAAGGAATTCATCACCACCAAACCAGTATTATATGAAATGCTGAAGGGTCTTCTTGAAGGAGAAGAACAACAAAAATATGAACAATAAAATGGCAATAAATACATATCTATCAGCAGTTGAATCTACAAACAAAATCAGCAAGCAGAACAGAAACAGTCTCATAGATACAGAGAACTTTTTGTTGCTTGCCAGATGGGAGGGAGTTGGGGGGATGGGAGAAAAAGATGAAGGAATTAAGAAGTACAAATTGGTTGTTAGACTGATGAACCTCAAAGGGAAGTGGGGAGGGAGGGCAGGATGGAGAAACCAGAGAACTTTATGCATATATGCATATCCAATGGGCACGGAGAATAGTGTGGAGAAGGCAGGAGAGGGGCAGGATTGGGGGCAAGGGGTCAATGGGGAAAAAGGGGGGGGGACATCTGTAAAACATTTAACAATGAAGGTAAGTAAAAACAAAGGTAAAATATTAAGCAATAAAGATCTTGGACTTAATTAGGACTACAAACAAAGAAATAATGAACTAATATTTTGTTTATTGTATATATATGTATTATTTTAGAGAGGAAAAGGAGGAGGGATGGAGAGGGGGGGGAGAGGGAGAAACATCAATTGTTTGCCTCCCACACACCCCTACTGGGGTTCAAGCCCACAACCTGGGCATGTGCCCTGACCAGCAATCGAACCGGTAACCTTTTGGTATGGGACAATGCTCAACCAACTGAGCCATACTGGCCAGGGCCATATTTTATGTTTTTTAATAATTGTACTGATATGGCTACAGAATGATAAAAGGCTTCTCTTAAAATACCTAAATGATAAGAAGGGGCCAGTCACATGGTCTAGTATGTTCCATGTAGGAGGAATAGTAAGCGTGGTGGCCCTGACTGGACGTGAACTGTGTGTTGCCGAGGAATGGGGAAGAGGCCCTGTGGTGTGCCTTTGACAAAGCTGCACGGAGGGTGGTGGTTTGAGAGGAGGTCAGAGGAGGAGTCGGGCTCGTCATAGGAAGCCTGCATCATTGTCAGAAGTTTTGATGTTTTTCTATGTAGGATAAAAAACCAGTGGAAGATGTTAGAGTGGGGGATGACATAAAATTCTGGCTTTTGGGTAGACAGTGGTTTGTAGGGGTGGTCATAAGGAGTAGAAACCAAGAAACTAGTTTTTAAATTAGTCCAGATGAGGAAAAGAGGAGATAATGACTGGGCAAGTAGCCCTGAAAATGGAGAGAAATGAGTGGATTTGGGATATATTTTTGAAGGTTGATCTAGGAGGACTTGTTGATGGAGTTTATAGAGAGAGTGTGAGAAAGAGATAAGTTAAGAATGACTAAGTTTTTAAGCTTGAGCAACTGGTACCATGGTCTGACTCGAGAAAGATGCAACAAAGGATGGGAATCAAGAGTGTTCTTATTACTTTGTGAAGTTTTGCCTAAAATAGGTTAAGTTGTTGTTATTGTTGTTGTTATGCCTGTGTGTGAGAGAGTTAAGAACGAGTGTTTCTTTTCTAGCATGCTATAATACTGTACTTTTAATCTCCTTTTATCTCTTTCAGCTTTGGAGGAATTTTTTACATCGCTTGTGAAGCAAGAAATGGTGAATATGCCCCGTGGGGTATATCACTTGGCATTAAAAGGAGGTGCCCGCTCAGACCACGGAAAGACGGTAGCAGGAATCCCCAATTTTGTATTGAAAATGTATGAAACAAACAAGCAACCGGGTTTGAAACCTGGCCTTGCAGGTGAGCACAGTACATAGTATTCAGGTACATGTTTTAAAGTGTTGTTTTAACTTCCATTTCCAGGCAGAGTGGAGTAGGTCATGGGAGGGCATTGCTGCTGCTGCTAACATGTAGACACCGCTGGATAAATGACAAAAATAAATCCCTTTTTTTTTTTAAATCCTCACCTGAGGATATTTTTCTATTGATTCTTTTACTTAGAGTGAGAGGGAGGGGGACAGAGAGAATGAACATCGATGTGAGACAGACACGTTGATTGGTTGCCTCCTGAACAACCCTGACTGGGGCCGGGGATCGAACCCACAACCAAGGTAGGCACCCTTGACCGGGAATCGAATCCGTGACTCTCTGGTTCATGGACTGACACTCCAACCACTGAGCCAAACTGGCCAGGGCATACATTGCATTTTAAAGGCATCAGAGAACTGTCGAAGCAAAGATGACTAGACAGACAAAAATGTCAGAATAGGAGAACACTTTAGAACTGTTCCCATCCCCAGGGGGCATATTCACTGATTCTGGTTGTGGGCTAGGATTGAGGGTTTTTCCAGGACGAGACCTGTTGGATGAAACAGTGGAGCTTTTAGTGGTTCCACTGAACCAGGGTGATGTGATGGTTAATTTTATATGTCAACTTGTTTGGGCTAAGAGATGCCCAGATAGCTGCTAAAACATTAGTTTGGGGTGTGTCTGTGAGTGTGTGTTCAGAAGAGGTTAGATTTGAATCAGTAGACTGGGTAAAGACCATCTTCACCAGTGTGTTTGGGCAACATCCAATCTGTTGAGGGCCTGAATAGAACAGACAAAGGAAGGGTGAATTTGCTCTGATTGCCTGAACGGGTACATCCACCTCCTCCTGCCCTTGGACATTGGCACCGCTGGTTCTCAGACTTTTGGATTCAGACTGAGTTGTACCTCTGGCTTCCCTGGTTCTCCAACTCACAGATACAGATCTCTCATTTGTTCTGCTTCTCTGAAGACTCTGACTAATATAGGGGACAAATTGGAGATTTTCTTCATAAGATACTTGCTGAATTTTGAGTTTGCACTAAAAGTTAAAGAACTAGGCTGATGCTTCTGAAAGACGAAGTGAGATCTCCTTCAGTCTTGTGCTTGGATAGCAGACTGGCTAGGAAAATTGGTCTGAAAACAACGCAAATGAGAAGTAAATCGATACTGAAGCTTATAACTCTTTTCACCTGCGTGCATTTACTGATTCCATCCTGAGCTAGAGGCCGAAACTGAGGCTTGACCTTAAAAGATGCTGGTGAGCGGGGCAGAGAAACCAAGAGAGATCTTTACATTTATGTGATGTCCGAGTGACAAAACGGGAGACGTGAGGAACCTCAGAAACACAGCCCATTTCTCCTCCAGATATTTGCCAAAAGGTGGAACTTGAAGGGATGGGAGAGTTAAAGAGGTAAGCGGAAAACCTCTTATGACATATCTGGGTCTCTCCTAATTAGTCACATTGAGGAGTCTGATTAGATTTTCAGTGAAATCTAGGGGAGGCATGCCCTCAGAACGGGCTGAACCAGACACAGACTGAGATTTATCAGAGCTATGGTTAAACCTAACCCTGTCCAATTCCTGATTTGACTGAGATCAGTCCTTCCCTCTATCTGCCTAACAGAGGAGAGGAATTTAATATCATTCAGACTAAAATTTCTGTGGTTCTTTTATTTACTATCCAAGATACAGTGAAAAAGTACTAGACACATGAAAAAGGAAGAAGCTTGAAATGAGGGGGACAGTTCATGAAGATAACAAAGTCACTCTAATGAGAAAATATAACTATTCTAATCAATGTACACAAAGTAACATAGCATCAAAATATATGGCAACGATTATCAGAACTAAAGGATGAAATAGACCTGCAATAAAAGTGGGAAACTTTAAAATATCTTTTTCAATAGCTTGATGAATAAGCAGACAAATATAATCTATAAGTTTACAAAATATCTGAACAACACTGTGAACAAACTTAATTCAATGACATCTAGAACAGTGATAGAATTCCTGAGCGTTTTAACAGTGCATGGGAAACTTACCAAAATGACCTTATGATGACCCATAACTTCAACAAATTTCAAAATACTTAAGTCATTTTAGAGTCTGTCCTCTAATGACAATGGGATTAAGCTAAAAGGAAACACCTAAAAGGTAACTAGAATGTCTCCAGTAGCCTGAAAATTGAACAGCAGGCTTACAAATAATCTTAGCATTAAACTAAAAATCAAGACGGAAATCAGGAAATATTTTAAGCAGAATGATAATAAAAATAAAACATATCACAACTGCTAAAGCAGTGTAACAAGGAAATTTATGCCTTCAGTGACTATATTAGAAAAGAGAAAAGGAAAACAATAATTATTTAAGCTTCCATATCAAGAAGCTTGAAAAAGAACAGCAAATTAAATTTAAAGAGAAAAGGAACAAATAAGAAGAATGAAAATTAATACAATAGAAAGCATAAAATAAAGAAAATCAGCAAGCCAAAAAGTTGGTTCTTTGAAAAGTTTGAAAACATGATGAAGCCAGTGTAACTTAGGATAATAAATAGAGAAATATATATATCAGGAATAACAAAGGAGATGCCACTTCAGAGCTGACAGCATTCAAAAAAATAATAAAACAACATATAAAGAATTTAATAAATCTCCCAGTTTAAATGAGATATAGAAATTTATCAAAATATCAGTTTTCAAAAGTGACCAAAGGACAGACGGTATGGGTAGTTTGTTATGTATTCAAGAAATTGAATCTCTGACAACTTCTCCACTAGTACTGAATAAAAGCCATGGTGCACAGGGCTTTTGTGGTGAATTCTTCCCCCAAATTAAGGGAGAAATAACAATGATTTTTCATGCACTCTAACAGAGAATAGGAAAAAAGGAACTCTGAGATCGGCATAATTTTTGTACCAAAACCTGACAAGTATAAGACAGGAATATTATAAACCAATCTCTTCCATGAACATAGTTACAAAAAAAACTAGAAAATTGAACTTAGTAATACATATAAAAAATAATGCATAACAAATAAGTGGGGTTAATTAAATGTTTGAAAATCAATATAATTCATTATATTAATAGGAAAAGGCTGCCCTGGCCAATTTGGCTCAGCAGTTAGAGCGTCAGCCCTCAGACCAATGAGTCGTGGGTTCGATTGCGGTCAAGGGCATGTACCTCAGTTGCAATTCATCCCCAGCCCTGGTTGGGTTGTGCAGGAGGCAGCCAGTTGGTGTGTCTTTCTCACATTAATGTTCCCCCCCACCCTTTTTCTCTGTCTCTCTCTCTCCCCCTCCCTCCCTCCCACTCTATCTGATGATAAATGGAAAAATATCCTTGGGTGAGGATTAAAAAAAGAAAAGAAAAGAAAAAGGCACAGCAATCTTTAGATGATCTCAATAAACACAGAAAATGACTTTGACAAATTTACCTTTTATTCATGATATAAAAAAGATTTTTATTAAACTGAATAAAATGGAACTTCTTTTATTCTGATAAAGAACATTTATAATGCCATCATTTTACTTAATACTCAAATATTGAGATTAGGAAAACGATATTGATGCTTGTTATCACCACTATTGTTTAGTACTGTAATGGAGGGCATAGCTAGTGTGATACCACCCCCCCCCCCGCCCCAAGAAATAAGAGCTATAAGGATTAGAAAGGAAGAAATAAAATAGTCATTATTTGCAGATGACATTATTGTGCACATAGAAAATTCAAAATTATCTACAGATTAATTAGGGTTAATAAATTAATCCAGCAAGATTACCTGCATACATACAAAGACCAACATATAAAAATCAGTGATAATGGAAAAAGATTAAAAAATTAAAGAAAGAAATAAAAGTCACTAAAACAATTCCAAAAAATCAGTGATATATATTATATACCATAACAAATAAAAAATAAAATTTAAAAACTATACCATTTACAATAGCATCAAAAAATATCAATTAGCCCTGGCCAGTTTGGCTCAGCGGTTGGAGCGTCGGCCTGCGGACCAGAGTCCCAGGTTCGGTTTCCGCTGGGGGAACGTACAAAGAAAAAAATATATCAGTTACCCAGAGTAAATTTGTCAGAAAGTATATAAAACCCTTATGCTGGAATCTACAGACATTATGGAGAAAAAATTTTAAAATTCTAAGAAATGGAATGATATGCAATGTTTATGGACTAGAAACCTGTGTTGTAAAATGTTAATGTTCTTTAAATTGATGTTTAGATTCAACCTAATCCAAATCAGTATGCCAGTAGGTTGTTTTTGTTTTTGTTTTTGGAAATTGACAAGCTGATTCTAAAATTTGTGTGAAAATGAACAAACATCCAAGGTAATCTTGAAGAATAAAAACAAAATAGGAAGATATACATAATCAGATGTGAAGACCTTTTATAAAACCCCAATAATTGACAGTGTGGTATTGGTGCAAGGATAGACAAGCTGCCCAGTGGTGAAATGTAGAGTATTCAGAAACAGACCCACATATACAAGGTCACTAGATTTATTACAACAGTGACACTGCAGGGCTGTGGAGAAAGGGGATGATCTTTCAACAAATAATTCTATAATTAAAATCTCCGGTTGTAAAAATGAAGAATTATATTAAAATCAAGAACATGTGTTAATTAAAATATACCTTGAAGAGAGTGAAAAGGCAAGCCACGAATGCAAGAAGGTACAATACATATATTTGATAAAGAACTCACATATAGAATATATAATTTTTACAAACCAATAAAGAAAAACAATTGGAAAACAGTAAAAAGAATTGAACTCACCCTTCAAAATGAGAGTATTCAGATGCGCAGTGAACATATGAGTAGATGATCAACTTAGTCATCAGAGAAATGCAGATTAAAACCCCAATAAGATATTACCACATTCTTAACAGATTGGCTAAAATGAAAAAAAGATGGAAAATACAAAGTATTGGCAAATAGGTGGAGCAACCAGACCTGCTGCTGGGTGCAGGTTAATACAACCGCTTCGGAAAACTTGTACTGAATAAATTACACTCTATTACTCAGCTATTTCATTCCTAGGAAAAAACCCAAATGAAGTCTCTAGGAGATGTATCCTATAATGTTCATAGCAAGCAGCATTATCTGAATAGCCTTAAACTTGGAAGCTATCTAAATGCCTGTTGACAGTAAAATGGATAAATAAATTGTGGTATGTTCACATGACAGAGTATTATTCAGCAATGAGAATAAATCTACTACAGCAGCCAATAACAATATGAATGATTGTTGCAATGGCTATATTGAGTGAAAGAAGCCAGATTTTTAAAAGCCCATTCTGCAGTCTAATTTCATTTATATAAAGTACCAAAGTAGGCAAAATGGTCACTAGAAGGTTGCTATCTTTGGGACTGGAGTGCATGTGACTGGAAGCAGGCATGAGGAAAAGCTTCTGGGATGTTAACAATGTTTTGTTTCTTGATCTGGGTAGTGGTTAGACTTGTTTGTTCAGTTTGTGAAAATTCACTGAGCTCCGTATGCCTCTGAGATGTTTACTTTTCTCTATGTATACCATACTTCAAAAAGAGATGTGTAAAAATGTAATAATCTCTCTGTTTTAAATGATCTTATCCTTGAATATGTCTTTTCATTGGTTCAAAATTATCCAGATAGTTCCAAGGCTCCCCTAATTCGCTCGAGCACTTGGCTGCCGGTCCTTGCTTTTCCCTTTACACTGGGGGCCAGCGGGAGCTGAAGTTCCATTTCAGAACTTAGTTGACCAGAGGAAGAGAAGGGTTAGAGGGGGAGGAAGGGAAAAAGGGAGAACGAATGTATGAGAGTGCAGGTAAGAGGAAGGACTTGTCAACTTGTAGGTATAAACTAAAGGAACCTGTGTTATCAGGAGTTCACAAAGATTGATAGTACAAACATTTCTCTTTAATTGGAATTTATTTTTTTAAAAAGCTTAATAGAATCTTTAAAGTAACCGTTTATAAAATTTAAAGTGTCATGAATTTTAAAGTTATTCATTTATTTATTTACAAGTAAATAAAGTTTGTAAATAAGTAATAGTTTACATATAATAATTTTTCTAGTTTTTCTTTTCTTAGACACCTATAGCCAAATATAATTTGCTTAGCAAATTCTCTTAATTTCTACATATCTCTATCCAGATTGATTGAATATTGATTACTGAGGATCTAATTAATGAAGTTTTTTTTATTTCATTTTTCATAAGAAATGTTTTTGTGTGTTTTTGTTTTTAAGGTGGCATGTTATTTTGTTATGATGTTTCAATGTATCAGAGTAAAGATGGCAAACCTTTGAATCGACTGATGGCCAGTAGAGGGCGAAGTTTCAAGCAGACCTCACTTGCTCTAGTGCATGAGGTAGGTGCCTTCCAATATCAACAGGCTCTTCTTCCATGTTTGTTTTGGGGTTTTACTCCTTACCGTGTGCTCATGAAATTTAGTGTATATTTGGAAATAATTTTTCTCTTTATCATAATTAATTTAAGTTGCTTTTTATAAAGTATTTTTTATTGATTTTTTTTTTTTTTTTTTTGAGAGAGAGAGAGAGGAAGGAAGAGGGAAAGAGAGAGAAACATTGATGTCGGAGGTAAACATTGATCAGCCGCCTCCTGCAAGCCCCCTACCAGGGATTGAGCCCACAACCCCTGCATGTGCCCTGACTGGGAATCAAACCAGTGACCTTTCAGTGAATGGGCCAGCTCCCAACCTACTGAACAATACCGGCCAGGGCTTATGTCGCTTTTGAAGGCAACCAAAATAGCTGACCCATTAAATTATTTTGATATAGTTCTGAGATAAATTGGTCTGCTTCCCCTACTTACTAGCCTAATATTTGGGAGTAGTCTCTAGGAATTTGGTTAATTTCATTAATGTTTAACTTCTATTGTAAATAATAAATACCAACTGTTATCTAAAGAAATTATCTTGCCTATTTCTTAATCTAATCCTTTGCAAGTATGTAGGGCACCAGTGGTTTATATTATGTGAATGTAGGGAATTAACAGTAAATAAAATTATTTAGGTAAAAAAATAAAATGAAACCTTGGGTTTTAGTGTTTATTTTACTTTTAGGCTACCCTTTTAAAATAAAGTGATGTGATGTCATTACATGATTTGCATGAAATCTGATCATAGCAAGTTACAGCAATGCCTCAGGGAAGTGGGAAGCTGGAAGATACTTGTGAGATGTGTGGTCTTATTTTTTAAAAATTTTATGGCAGTTGCTGTATATAAATTAAAATATATGAATGCATAACAAAACAAAATATCACAGCAAAGAGCTTTGCTTTGTATGATATGGATGTAACTTATATTGCAGCTGTAAATAAAAATACATAAATTATAGTATAAAAAATTAATGGAGATGATGTAAAACTATTTCAGATGTCTACACTATGTTTGTATTAAATCTTATACTGGTGCATAATTTATAAATCTTAGTGTCAGTAATTTGGTTTGAATATATTCTCTATACCAATGACCACTGGTTAGCAAAACTGGTTTTTAAAGATCCATCTTTTTACTATGCCATCCATGTTCCTTTAACATATTTAGTCAGAGTTCAAATTCTATACATATTTGCTTCAGAATCATTTTTGTCTAATACAGTGTCTTAATTTAACTAAAGAGGGAACATAGATCTGGGAAGAGCATTTTTCTCTAGGAAGAAGAGAGGTTTCATTTTACAAAAGAGGGAAAAACATAGGTGATTTCTAGACATGTTTCCCCAACTTCTTACTAGCTGGTATGGAGATGGAGAAATTTGATACCTTTTTGTGTTTTTATTTTTTATTTATTTATTTTTTTCTGATTATAAAAGCAATACATTTTTATTATAGATCAGTGATTTTCTTTTTTTTTTTTTTAAATCTTTATTGTTGAATGTAGAATGTATTACAGATGTTCCACATTTTTTCCCCCATTGACCCCCCTCCTCCCCACTCCCACCTCCCTCCCACCTTTTCCCACACAATTGTCTGTGTCCATTGGTTATGCATATAAGTTCTTTGGTTCATTTCTTCCCACCCCCCCAGCCCCTTTCCTTTTGAGGTTTGTCAGTCTAGCAACCAATTTGTACTTCTTAATCCCTTCACCTTTTTCACCCATTCCCCCAAACCCCCTCCCATCTGGCAACCAACAAAATGTTCTCTGTATCTATGAGAATGTTTCTGTTCTATCTGTTCATCTTGTTTGTAGATTCCACCGTTGATAGATATGTATTTATTGCCATTTTGTTTGTTCATATATTTTATCTTTATCTTCAAAAAGACCCTTCATCATTTCATATAATAACGGTTTGGTGGTGATGAACTCCTTTAACTTTTTCTTGTCTGGGAAAGTTTTTATATGGCCATCGATTCTAAATGACAGCTTTGCAGGATAGAGTCATCTTGGTTGTAGGTTCTTGCTTTTCATCACTCTGAATATTTCTTGCCACTCCCTTCTGGCCTGCAAAGTTTCTTTTGAGAAATCAGCTGACAGCCTAATGGGTACACCCCTGTAGGTAACTAGCTGCCTTTCTCTTGCTGCTTTTAATATTCTCTCTTTGTCTTGAACCTTTTGCATTTTTATGATGATGTGTCTTGGTGTGGGCCTGTTGGGGTTCCTCTTGTTTGGGACTCTCTGCGCTTCCTGGACTTGTATGTCTGTTTCCTTTACCAAGTTAGGAAAGTTTTCTGCCTTATTGTTTCAAACAGGTTTTCGATTTCTTGTTCTCTATCTTCTCCTTCCGGCACCCCCAAGATACGAATGTTGGCACGCTTGAGGTTGTCCCAGAGGCTCCTTACACTATCCTCATTTTTTTGGATTCTTTTTTCTTTTTGCTGTTCTGATTGGGCGTTTTTTGCTTCCTTATATTCCAAATCGATGGTTTGCTCCTTGGATTTACGTACTCTATTATTGAAGCTGTGTAAATTATTCTTTATTTCAGTTAAAGACGCCTTCGTTTCTAACTGCATCAATCATTTCTGACTGGTCCTTTTTTATGCTCTTGAGGCCCTCACTGAGTTCATTGAGCATCCTTATAAGCAGTATTTTGAACTCAGCATCTGTTAGGTTGCTTATCTCCATTTCGCGTAGTTCTTTTCTTGGGGTTTTGTTCTGTTCTTTCATTTGGGACCTGTTTCTTTGTATCCTCATTTTGGCTGCCTCCCTGTGTTTGTTTCTGTGTATTACTTAACGAGCTGTATGGGGCTAGCTGAGACCAGATGCTGCTCGTTTGAAAAAATTTAGGAAAACCTGAAGCAGGATCCAAGTCAGGCCAATCCTATGGTTAAGCAAGTGCCAACAGCTTGGGTGGGCCTGAAAGTTGGGTGGGGTGGGGCGGGGCCTCAGGGAGTCAGCAGGGCGGGGCTACCAGTGTGAGCCAGGTTGCTGGAGTCCCAGATATGGCGACTGTCTGCCGCCCCAGGGAAGGACTCACCAAAGGAACAAAGGCCTCTGACAGCAGGTTTGTCCCCGAGAAAGCCCCGTCTCCAGCCCTTGCTCCAGTGCCAAACAGCTCAGTTCTTCCCTGTATGTCTCTGGCACCCCTCGAGCTGCCTCCCTTCCAAGCTTGGAGAGAGTCCGATAAGTCCGTGCGCGGGCCCTTTAGGGAGCTGCCTGGGGCTCCAGCCGCTTCAGCTTCCCTGAGCCTCAGTTCCCGCTGGTTTTTCCAGCCAGAAGTTATGGGGACTCTCTTCCTGGCACTGGAACCCTAAGCAGGGCACCTGGTGTGGGATGGGGACCCCCTCAGTCCTCAGGGAGGACCTTCCCAGCCGCGGGAGCCTCCTGATTTTTATCCGCCACACGTGGGTGTGGGACCAGCCGCCCCTCCTACCAGTCTCGATGCAGCTTCTTTAATTCCGTAGTTGTAGGACTTCCATTCAGCTTGATTTCAGGCGGTTTTGAATAGTGGTTGTTCTGTAGTTTTGTTGTAACTTGGATGTGGTTGTGGGAGGACGCGATATTGCGTTTACCTACGCCGCCATCTTGACCGGAAGTCTCCCTTTTTGTGTTTTTAAATTAAGTTGTGCACATAGGTATTTATCAAAGTGTTAGATATTACTAGGAAACTGATTTTAAAATTCACAGTCATAACAGAAACAAAAAAAGTGTGAATGTGGGGGACAGCAGAAGACATCCAATAAATTCAGCATGTGGTATCAGAACTTATAAGGTATGCCTTAGATATAAACAGCGAAAATATCTGGGTTAAGATACTTGTTGTTTGCCCTGGCCAGCATGGCTCAGTTGGTTGGGCATCATCCCATGCACCAAAAGGTTGCCTATTTGATTCTTGGTCAGGGCACATGCCCGGGTTGCGAGCTTGATCCCCAATAGGGGGCGTGTAGGAGGCAGCTGATTGATGTTTCGCTCTCACATGGATATTTCTCTCTTCTCTCTTCCTCTCTCTCTAAAAATCAATAAACTATTCTTTAAAAAGAAGAAGAAGAAGAAGAAGAAGAAGAAGAAGAAGAAAAGAAACTTGTTGCTTGTGTTATAGAATGCCTAGAAAATTTTAGAGAGATGAGGAAATAAGATCATTATTTTAAGAGTTAATCAGAAGACATCTTGGACAGAATTCTGCCAAATCTATGGTAGGATTTTAGTTTGGATTCATCTTCTGGTTACTATAATTCATTTCTTAAAAAAAAAAAGAAAAAAATAGCCCCTGGCCAGTTTAGCTTAGCAGTTAGAGCATCGGCCCTCAGACCAAAGGGTCACGGGTTCAATTCCTAATCAAGGGCATATACCTGGGTTGCAGGTTTGATTCCCATCCTGTTCAGGGTCATGAGGCAGGCCACAATCAATGTGTTTTTCTCACATCAATATATCTGTCTCTCTCCCTCCCTCCTCCTTTTTCACGGTATCTAAAAATCAGTGGAAAAATATCCTCCGATGAGGATTAACCAAAAAAAAAAAAAAAAGGTGGAGATAGAGAATGAGCCATACAGCTTTCTCAAACTATGTGTTAACAAATATTCAGAGTTTAAGAGCTGGTTAACAAGAATAATGATGGAATTGAAATAATAATAGCAAATAATCAGCTCAGGCACTTTGGAAATAGAACCCAGGTGGTATCACTGCACAGTCCTTGAACTACCTTACACCCTCTAGGTTAAGCAGAGAACATCTGAAAACGCCCTTAGCTTTTTCCAGGATGATCAGTCTTCTTGCTTCTGGTCCTTTTATTGTTGCAGTTCATTTGATATTTTTCTAGCTGAAGTTTCTTTAAACTCTGCTTTGCTTTCCATCACTACTTTATTGACTCTTTTTATTTGAAAAAATTGTTATGAGTGTTTCAATTTGTTCATTAATTCACCCATTGATGGATCTTTGGGTTGTTTCCAGTTTGGGGCAATTATGACTAAAGCTGC